ACGTACATACATATATATATGTACATACATATATATATATATACATACATATATATATATATGTATGTATTTATGTATGTATATATATGTATGTATTTATATAGTATATATATATATATATATATATATATATATATATATATATATATATATATACTCTTTAGGTTTATATAAGAGGGTGGTAGGGGATTATGGCAAAGTAAGAATAACTCAAAGGTCTTGTGATCGGTACTAGTACAAATTTTAATTTTCTCAATAGATTCAAGTAGGAAGTATTGAACCATGTTAATATTATATCAAAATATGTTCTTCAATTGTTGATCTTGGGATCTCTTTCATTTTGAGTTCTCCTCTCTTTCTCAATGGTGTTGGAAAATACAGGACGAAAATGATATTTAGGCTTGAAACGTGTATAAACACTATAGGAAAAATGATATTTGTACAAACACAAGATCAAGAACACTATAGGAAAAATATTTAGGCTTAAAACGTGTATAAACACTTTTCTAAAAATGATATTTGTACTCTTTTCTCAATACAATTACTATGGGTTTGATACTAATAGTTTTATGTGATATGACAAGCCTTTAGAAGATATGTTGAGCAAACAATAAAAAATCTTCAAAGAGGAAATAGAAAATATCTAATTCAATCACTTGAAGAGTTATCGAGAAAGAAGAATCTAATGTTAAGATCGTGAATCGATACTAAGACGCGGGGGGGGGGCGGGGGCGCGTGAAGCAGTGCTATCGTAAAACTTTATGTCGATTCAAAAATTTCGTCGAAAATGAGCTTGACTTAGAGTACACGTTTATAAGCGTAGTGAAAGTAATAAGCAAGTAAATCAGTTTACAATATAAATAAAAAGTATGAAAGAAATACAAACTGAGTTTTATAGTAGTTCGGTCGTCTCGACCTATGCTCACTCCCGATTCCTCTTCACTCGAGGCCATTGGCTTCCACTATCGATCTTCTTTCCAATGGGCAAAGATCAACTACCCTTATAACTCTTTCTCCTTTTCATAGGTTTAGGAGAAAATCTTTACACCCCTCTATTATAAGTATTCCCCTCCCACTCTCCCTTAGAACAACATTTAAGTATATGGAGGAGGGAACTCAACTTTCTAACAAGGATTGCAACCTTAGAATCACAAAGTTTTTTTTTTGTGCTACCTCAAGCAGAAAAGATTGGGGTATTTATAAACCCTAAATGCCTTCAAAAATTGGAGCAAAAAATTTGAATCCCCGGGATTTCAAGGTACCGACGGTACTATTGCCAGTACTTTCTAACACTAAGCGATACCACAACCTGACATAGTCTGGAAGACTGTTTCTGGATGGTACCATCACCCAGTCTAGCGGTACCACCGTTTGACATAGTCTTGAAGAATGTGTCTGGGCGGTACTACCACTAGACCCTACTATAGGACACTGAATGAGCCAAACAATAGATTCAATTCAGTCCTAATTCAGGCCCAATTGGGCCCTAATTCAGGCCTAATTGGTCCCTAATCAAGTTGACATGATTATACTTAAAACTAACTCAATTAGACCTAACTAACTCGATCTAGATATACACGATTGCAAGCATGAATCCTATATTGTCTGGCATGTCATTGGTTCATTCGACTTTTCATTCAATCCTTTAAGCGGATCATCCTCTCTTGCGGTGTATTGGCCAATCGACATGTTAACCTCTGTAACATCCGATCTCCTTAGCATAATGTCCGATCGTTCTGGCCCGATGCCCGAACTCATGGTATGAAGCCTTCTGCCGATACATCGACCGATCCTCCGACTTGACATCCAATCTTCTGACATGTTCCACTCTGACCCAATGTCTGATTCCTCCTGCTTTAATCAATTTGCCTTTTCTGATCGAAGTTAGTCTTGCGTCACTCAAAATACATATTAGATCGTAAACTCATCAATTGATTTCATCATCAAAATATGAGATTCAACAATCTCCTCCTTTTCGATGATGACAACTAATTATTGATGGAGTTTAAACTAAACTCCCCCTATCAATATGCCATATTGATAGAAACTTTGAATTCAAAAAATCATGACCATTTCATCGTTACATGTATCATGAATATTGAAAGAACCAATTAATCACATCATTGCATGCATCGTAAAATCATGAGTATTGCATGCATAATACCAATTTATCATGTATATTTTTAAAATCATCATTACATGTATAATTCTAAATCATCATATATAATTTTAAATCATCATTTTAGGCATAATATGCATGATTATTATTATACCTTCTCCCCTTTTATCATCAACAAAAAGGAGAAGTACAACTAATAAGTTTTTAGATATGTAAGCTAGTAAAATAGTAAGTTTTGAATATGCTAGCAAGTTTTTCACATATGAAAGTTAGCAAAATTTTTGCATCTTTTGAGATGTGCAAGATAGCATGTTTTTACATATTTTTGAAATTTGCAAGCTAGTAAACTTTGCTTCTCTTTTGAGATGAGCAAGCTAGCAATTTTAGCAAGTTTTACATCATGCAAGTTAGCAAATTTTACATCATTTTATAATAAGCAAGCTAGCAAATTTCACATCATTTTAGAACATGTAAGCTAGCAAGTTTTCTTTTCTTTGAAATGTGCAAGCTAGCAAATTTTCTCCTTCAAATGTGTAAGCTAGCACTACTTTCTCCCCCTTTGTTATTATTAAAAAGAAGGGAAGAATACAATATTATAGTTCATTTCCCTTTACATTAATTATCAAATCATGAAGAATATCAATAAAAATTAATTTGGTGATAAGATATACACTTCATGAATACAAGGGAGTACTAAAATAACTTTCAAGTTGTGAATAAAAAAATCAAGAGAAAAATTATGATTCATTTGGATAAATCAAATAGTGAAAAGAAGAATCATAGTAAGTGATCTTGATTCATATAAAAAAAATTTCAAGTTATAATTTCAAGAAATCAAGATCATGATTTGGATTAATAACTCATTCAAATTCAAATCATCAAATCATCAAAATCACTTTCAAGATATTCAAAATGACATAAATAGATTTATCAATCTCTTGAGATGCTAGCGAATTTTTTTTTTCCTTTTGTCATTGTAAACAAGAAAGAAGAAGGGGGGAATTATATAATGGTGCAATTCATTTCCCTTTAGATCAATACTTTACTCATAACATAAGGTTTACAACCATAAATACAAAGGAATTATTTATAATAAAAATCATGTCATGAAAGATAATATCAAAGATCATGTGAATATTAAAAGACATGATTCATTTTAACAAATATCCTCTTAAATAATCGAAAAGAAATTTTAGGAGATCAAATAGTAAGGAAAATCTTAAGTCATGAATTTGAAAACGATATTTTCTTTAGTAGATAGTGAATAAAATCATATAAGAACAAATAAGAGATCTTGATTCACATAAAATAAATATCAAATCATTAATGTTGAGAATCAAGATTCATTTGGATAAATCTTCTCTCATAAGATAAAATCATACGAGAATAAAGTGATTCATATAAGATACATCTCATATCGAATAAATCAAGTATTTGGATAAATATGAAAATAAATTATCAAATCTAAAATCATCATCAAAATCATTTTTCTTTTATTCAAAAAATTTATTGAAAGTAACGTAGATTAATTCTTATAAGATTAAAAGTAGCTAAAGTTTTTTTAGTTCCAAATTTTGTGATTGATTTCATATTCTAGTCTTCCATACAAAAGCCATGCATCATCATTTAAAATCGAAAAGCAATACAGAAATCATAAAGATACATATTATTATTTCTTAAAACATACATAGGATTAATCTTATTAAGAGTACAAGCATTAGATTTAAATATAATATTTTATTCTTTTATCATAAAACATGTAATTGTTATGATCATTTTTTCAAAATCACTAGAAAAAGAAGCATAACGCACCCCCCCCCCG